TGGCAAGTATTGTTGTTATAATCGAGGTTCCACTGTACAAAATTATGCAAACTGGCGCAGGCAAACCATCTTAGGAAAGGTTAGCAACAAAAAGCAGTTTGCATTCGTAATTTAAAAATGTGGAAGATAAGCAAAACGGAACAAATATCAATGAAGTTACCACACCAAAACAGCATAGAGCCAACATACCCATCGACAACGACGTTAGAAACCCCGTTGCAAACACTCTGTTGCTCTTGTAGTTTGACTCGACCGTACACGCAGCCAAAGTGATAATACAGTAAAAACGTACGCAGGTAACCTCTTTCCAAACGGTAAATGTACTCCTTGTGGAGCAGCTAATGAAAAGTGAAGCATACTCAACGAACACTATGTTCGTAACAGTAACTTTTTTGTACGCTACTTTAGAAGTACTCCTCAACGTTGCAGTTTGCAACCAATGGGATTTCGAAGTGTCAAATGTCGATATGCAGACGTAAATCAGCTTACGAACGCTTCCGATCTTCTGAGCGTAAAAAGGTTATAAAGACAAAATTGCTCCAAACTGCACGATCGGAAAGCGTTGAGGGCCACTGCAAAAAGAGCTACAAAAGCTCTTTTGCTTGACCAATCAAAGTCAACCTGCGTGCAGCTAACTCGTCTAAATGACGCTCATTGAGAGCAGCACGCCTAACCTTCCGACATAGCAGGGCATAACGGCACGAGAGAAATCACATTCGCGAAAACTTTATAATTTAAATCGCTTAACGAAAATATATGGTCGTACTGTATACTAGTACCTGACAATCAGTAAAAATTAGTATTTGCATTTCAACATTCAACCATCGCAATTTGTATTCTGTTCCCCTTTGGCAGCTTTCCAATAAATAGACACTATCTCACTGTATAGGTGCGATATGAAAACTTGCTCATAGTTAGCGTCGGCGCTTGGTCATAGAAGCTACAATAGACTTGACGTGTTTATGCTCAGAGAAAACTATCTTTATACACCAGACAAATTTTTAACCAATCAAAGAAAAGAAAGAAAAAGCGCCGAAACGCGACAAAGTTTAATACTACCTACTTCTGCCAAAGTGATGATAATAAACAAATATCTCAGCTGAAACTTTGTGCTACAAGTCAGCAATAGTATCTTCAATGTGCTCTACCAAATTAAACAAAAGGTTTACACGTTTAACTTCAGCAACAATATCAGGGGACGGCGCGAACGCAGTCCCCACACTCAAAAATTACGCGGCCGCTCACCCCTTGTCGGGGTGGCAACGGTGCTCAGCGACGTCGCAGTGCAATGACTACGCCTCACACCGGGAACCTCGCCTTCGTGATCACGAGAATTCCCCCGCCAAGTAAGTTTAAACACAACCCGCGACATCGAAGTTGTACCAACCGTGCAACACTAAGGGATTAGGTTCACATTTAAAAACACAAAGTGCTCGGCAAGCAATTAATGGGATAACACCTGGTTTAAACTATTGATTTGCTAACTGTTGGCAAGTTTAAGCTTTGCTTAGCTATAGGATTGCTTATGAAAAGGCCATCTGAAGAAGAGCCCATTATTCGACCATTAAGTGGGTGCGGGGTTGGGTCCCCCATAAAGGCAATGGATTGAAACCTATGCGAGCCGGGCTACAAAATAACATCAAAGCAGGCGTAGAAGGTTGTGAACAAGGAAATATTGAACTCCCGTAAAAATTAAAAATGACAAAAAGGCATTTTTCAAAATGAACCTGCATACTTGAAATGTACTCCTTAAAAGGCGAAAATAAAAAGCTGCGCTGCCGCAGGCGCAATATCAAGTCGTTATTCTTTGCTTTCAAACAATGGGCGAACAGAAATTAGCTCTATCTTTGCAAACATGTTTTGAAAAAGAAAAATTACAAGCAAACTCTCCAAGCTTCGATTGACAACGTATTCCGCCATTTTCTCATCGGACGGAGTATTAGCAACCGATAGCTTCCCAAATTAAGGCTGCTTAAATGCAGAAGCGATATTATTTTCGAAAAAGTTAAGTAACAGCTTCCTTCCTTATAGGAGAGTAGATTAGAATTGAATTTACTGATAAACGTATAACCTTCGTCTCACGAAAAGAAATAAAATTTACGGCAAAGCTTTCGCCTTCGATTTAACTCAAAGTATACCTGATTATTACAGTATACATTTTGAGCAACAATACGCGTAGATCATTATGTTTTGATCGAGCAGCTTTAGTATTAAACAGATAGTTCACTTATTCGTCGTCGTTATCATTGACAACTAGTGATGCTCCCGCCTTTTTAAATTGTACACCTGCTATTAACTTAGTTTGACTACATGCGCTTTACATTTTTTCTACTATATCTGGTAGTAAAAACAAGAATACTAACAGTGAAATTTATACGCGTCGCTACTTGGTATTTTCAATTATAGCGGGAAAGAAAAAAGTGAACCTAACCATCAAAAACTTACGGTAAACGTTTCTCAACAAAACCTGATTGTGGCCATTATTCTGCTTTGGCAATTTGTTGGATGTTGATAATTAGAGACGCAGATAAGTAAACTAACGAAAAATACAACAGGCCCTAACGAAATGTAGCTCTGTGCTGATAAATATTGATGTAGCATTTCATTTAACTTACTGTATCAAGATTGATGCTTTGGCGGCTCTGTCTGTGGTCACCATTATATATTTGAGTATGTAGACCACTGCCACAAGAAACTTACTGTTATATATGAAGACAGATCCCTTTGTTGAAACTGCAACCGTCTGAAGGTCACTAATATAGAGACTTGACACGTTTGCGTGCTATGTTATACAAATGGGAACTTACTAGTTACGCGCTTGTTAAGATTGAAAGACCTGTAAGAAAAATAAGGTCTTACTTTGTCCTTCACAGCTTTACTGTTCTATGGTTGACCAAGAACGTAACTGTCATAGCTGAACATGAGATGTTGCCGTCATTTGGCCATATTAAAACGAAAGAGTAGATAAATATAGTAGAAATCTTACTTTGCACATTTTTTGCAAAACCTACTTTGAAGCACAATTCCCCAAGTTTACTGCTTCGCACGGAACTTGTCCGAGCGCGCAACGAGAGAGACAAATAAACGCCCCACTGGCTATAGAACCTGTCAAATTCGCAACTTTAACAAAATGAACTTCAACCGCACAAACAAAAGCCGAAAGAGACTACTTTTGCTTTATGACATCGTCAAGACGGCCGAAGCGTCAAGAAGGTCCGCGAACCTAAGACGAACCAATTGTCGCTTTGCAAAAATCGAATCAGCAGAGCAAAGTGTTCGTCGTCCGTGCTTACTTGGGCAGCGTGTGCGTTGTATCTCGCCGAAGTTGGCTGTTTTCGCTTTATTTTGCCGTGACAATCTCAGCAGCATGCAAACTACGCAACAAACTCACTTTCAATGGGTCATATAGGTCGACACGAAAAGGCACTGACAAGCGAGAAGCTATGAATAATAAAAAACAAAAGAAAGAAGAAATATTTCTGGCCAGCGAAACGCTGCCGCACAAACACAAAGTTGTCATGTACTTTCTTTTCGTTTCTGGTCGCTTATCGGCTTGACTTGATGCCACAACGTTCAACGCTGCTCGCGAACGTGCGAAAATACTAAAAAGTTGGTTGTATCCAAACAACGTAAACACTTCTCGCTTTACTACAGTAAGATAAATTACGAGAGATAATGATTCGCATGTTAGCAAAATTCCTCATGGTTGTATCCAAACAACCTGAACACTTTAACTACAGTAAGATAAACTACAAAAGATAATGATTCGCATGTTGGAATAACTCCTCAAAGCAAAAATTGCTGAAATTAGGCATTTAATAAAGTTGCGTTGCCTGCCTTGGCCATAGTTTAGCTTAAGATTAACCCTAGAAATTGCGCAAAAAGCTCGCACGCTTTCAAATGAGAAAGTCTTGTTTGGCATGGTAAAAAAAAGTACATTTAAAAATTTCCAAATGATTTCCGCAAAATTAAGCGAAGTATGGTAGGTTTGCAAAATGCCTTTCCAGACGTGAATATGCAATGGCAGTCCTAATCTCGGCAGAAATTCGCAGTTGAACCTAACTATCATTATCATATCTAAATCGTCGTCATTATCATCATCCTTTCGGCTGTCGCCTTTTATCAATGCGTTGCTTTTCTTGGCTGTACATTTTTGAGCGAAGCCTTTCTTGGCACGACACGCTTTGAGTTTGTGCTTTTGCTATTCCAGAATGCCTTTTTTGAATGAAGAGCCCATTTTCGCTGGCGTAGATGGAGGCGCATCAAAAACTACGCTAGTATTGATGAATAGCGAAGGGAAGGTGCTTGCTGAAACCGTTGGTGCCGGGACGACTACGTTCGTAAAGCCAAGAAGTGAAGTTTACCGCGTCTTCCTTGATCTACTCAAAAGCGCGATGGAACAAGCCGGTCTGCCGCCGGACACGAAGCTAAGCAGCTTAGGATTGGCAATAAGTGGCGCCGAATACGATCCACAAAATGACGCTTTTGTTGCCCATTTCCAGCAGTCGAATCCAAACATTGCCAAACAAGTAGCTCTTATGTCCGATTCGGATGGAGCCTTAGTTACAGCTTTCGATAACGGCGGTATTGTTCTAATTGCGGGAACCGGCTCCTCCTGCAGATCATTATCTCCTGACGGTAATAGATACGGTTGCGGTGGTTGGGGACATTTGATTGGCGATGACGGATCCGCCTATTGGATAGCCGCTCGTGCCATAAGGAAGGTGTTCACCCTGAAGGAACGTTTCGAAGTGTCGCCAGGGGATGGCGACCTGTTAGCGCAGGAAATGCGCGATCATTTCAGCCTGAAATGCGACGAAGAGATTTTGGATCATTTGTACAAGAATTTTCAAAAGGCAAAGATAGCATCCTTCTGCAAACGGTTGTCGGAGATGAACGATCCCATTGTTGAACAATTGTTTGCCGATGCCGGCAGAGCTTTGGGAGCTCACGTTCGCGCTGTGGCGACTCGCTGGCAGCTGGAAAAACTCGGAACCGACTTTCGATTGCCCGTTCTGCTTATCGGGTCTGTCTGGAACAGTTTCGACTTGATGCAACAGGGCTTCATTGACGGCTTGAGGCCTAAAGACGTAGGCGATTCGCACATTAAGAACGTCGACTTATTCAAGTTGACAGTATCGCCAGCAGTGGGCGCCTGCGTATCTGCTGCCAAAGTTGGCGGCTATTGCATACCATTAGAAAAGGAGAAATGCAGAGAACTTTTCTGTGCTCTTCAGCTGGACAATTGAAAAAAGAAACCATTGTCCAGCGGTCGTCTTTAATCAGCTTTGTTTACATTTGAAGGCTTCTCAGAGGCAGCATTAAAAATTGATCAAATCGCAATCGCTGCCCTTTCTGCAATGTACTAAAAGCCGAAAAATGCGACAAAGGATGCGCTCGATGAGTATAATTCAGTTTATTATGGTTCTGTGGACAAATATATACGAAACCATAAGGGGAACTTCAATTATCAGTTTGTTCTGTCATTTCCTGAAAGCACACTTAATGCTGCTATTTGTCCGTAAATGGCTTCATATTACTTTCTGAAAATGCGTTCGTTAGCTGATGTCAAGAATTGGCGCCAAGACTAACCTGTTAAGTTTGTACTGTTTGCTGATCACGTGCTGAAGGCAGTGCCACTCTTTCAAATAGGCAACACTGCCTTCAGTCACCGGTCATCCGTTAACCGGCTTTCACCGTCCGTGAAAGCAAGAAGACTGACGACAGATGCTTAGCGAAAGCGCTACTTGCTTAATAGAGTTTAAAGTTCTAATTTGGAGCTTTAACTTGAACCCTTAAACTATGCTGATGCGTTTTATGCATGTTTTAACTTGAACCCTTTAGTGAATGAAATTCCAACGCATATGTCAGTGAAGCGTTTAACATCTTGCTTATTTAGATAGAAAAGACTACAAGGCGATTCGTAGACTATTTGGAAGTGGCTGTACGCTTTACGTTACAAAGCTTCAGGCAAAACAACACTTTAATCACCCTTAATATTTTAGCAATTTTAATACAAAAAGCCTCTAATGGAATTTTCTATTAGAGGTTTACGTTCGGCTGTCTACGACGTTCCCAACGCTAAACTTTCAGCAAGGCAGTTTCATTGAAAAATTTTTAAGGCGGCGGCTGATGGCTAACAACTTTTCAAAACCTTCAAGGAAGAGAGGTACATTTAGATAAACTTAAAGTAAAAGCGTTAATTGATGGAATAAGCACATATTAAACAAATAATGGAACAAGGAGCATTATTTTGCCTAGTGCTGAAAAGAATAGGATCAATACCGTCTACACAACAAAGTCCCATTTAAACTTTCACGTTAGCGTTTTAAAGTTGAATACATTAGCGATCAT